AGTTGCTGCTAGTGGCCGATCCTGTGAGTAGGGCCTGCCTTCCACAGCATGCCACATGGGAAGGATCCAGCACTAAAAGGGAGGTGTATGTCCCACCAGATGCACAGCCGGACTGGGCCCATGCCCCCGTACCTTGCACTGCTGCGCAGCCTCCTGGATGGGAGCTGCGGGGTGAGCTCGGTGCGCCCGGGACTCCTGGCAGATCACGCACATCAGGACCTGGTCTGTCTCGCAGAAGAGATTCAGAGTCTCCCTGTGCTGCTCACACACCATCCTGCCCCCGGCTCCCCCCATTCTCAGGCCCTTGATTAGTTCTACAACATTTGCCAGCTGCCTGTTTGGGCCCAGGAGCCTCTGGGCAAAGGTCTGTCTGCACTGGGGGCAGGTGACGTCCGTCTCGGCCCCCTCCCAGCACTGGGCGATACAGGCTCGGCAGAAGTTGTGCCCGCAGCCCACGATCATCACCGGGTCCCTGAACAACTCCAGGCAGACAGAGCAGGTCACCTCATCCTGGAGGCTTTGTACAGCGCTCTCAGTGGCCATGGCTGCAAGCAGGGAAGAGACAGAGCTAATTTCACTTCCCTGAGCTCAGAGCTGGGCTCATCCTGGGGCAGCTCACCCTGGGGTGTTTCCTTCCTGCCAAATAACTCCAATTGTTCCTAGCCTAGCAGGAGCTCCGGGGTAAAGATCCAGCCCTTGGATTCCCGGGGAATCTGGTAACCCTTGTGGAGAGGCAGCTGAGCATAACTGCAATGGAAAGAACAGGAAAAATCCTTCAAGTCACGACCCAATAACCGGCAGCACTTCTCAGGAAACCTTAGGAGAGAGTCAGTGCACCTGCTGGAGTAGCCAAGAGTGTCTCAGGGCTGTTGGGACTTATTTGGTGCTGAACGGCCTAAAAACTCAAATTCCCCTAACACGATCATTTTCCTTGGGAAAATAAAATTAAAAAATTCCTGCATTTGCCTCCACCGAACCGTTTCATTTCCAAGGCCTTCAGTGGCACAGGCCCCCGTGAACCTGCCATTGCACCTGCCGGGACCCCTGGTGCCTCCCTGAAGGCAACAAGGAGCTTCTCCCCTGGGGCAGGGCCAGCATCCCCCGAGGAGCCCTGCACAGGGATCGGGGAACCTGAGCCTCCACCTCTCACTGAGGGGACGCAGAAAGTTACACCCTGCCTTCAGTGCTGCAGGTTATTCAGTCTCTGCCAGCTCCCAAAGCCCCTGCTCCTTTCCTTCCCCTGGCCAGGTCCTGCTCTGGAGCAGGGGCAGGCAACTTCGGAGTACCGCAGGGTCTACCTTGTACCGTGCCAAGTGCGGGGTATGCAGTAGGACGCACAGCAAACGGAAGCAGTAAATCATCATAACTGCTTTGCCTTTTTTTTCCCCCGCAGTAAATCATCATAACTGCTTTGCCTTTTTCTCTCCAGGTTTTCTAAAGACTCTGCACCTGGCGATAATCAACAGACTCGGTACAGACCCCCTGCTCTGGTTTGGTTGCTCCGTGAAGCGAGGTGTGATGACGGGAGAAGAAAGGCGGAGGCAGACGGGGCGGGGCGCGGCGGCTCAGCCGGCTGGAGCGGCCCCGGGCCCGGGCAGCAGGCGCTCG